CCAACAGTTAAAAAAAAAAAGTAGTTAGTTAGTTGTCCTTAACTAACAAAGAGATTGAAACTGAAAAATCAAAAACAAAAACAAAAAACTCTGAATAAGAAAAGTTTGGGTCCAGATGGATTCACAACAGAATTCTACCTGAATTGCAAAGAACTATAATTATTCCTTCCTAAATTATTAAAAAAAAAAACAGAGGCACAAGGAACACTTCTAAACTCCTTCTATGAAAATTTAACATTACTCTTAAAACCATGTAAAGATTCAACGAAACAGAAAGCTATAGGCCAATATCTCTGATGAATAAAGATCCAAAGATTCTCAGTAAAATACATAATATATTAAACAAAAGTTACCCACCATGAACAGGTCATTTGGCCTTATCTCAATGATGCAGGGATGGTTCAATATACCTAAATTACTAAATGCACTAAATCACATAAATGGATTCAAAGACATAAAAATTACAGTATCATTTCAATATATGTAGAAACCATACTTCACAATATTCAATGCTCTTCATGATAAAAGACATGGAGGGCATTAGACCTGAGGGAATGTACTGCATCATAATAAAGGCTGCATGTCACAAACCCACACTCAATATCATTCTAAACAGAGAAAAGCTTAAGACAATCCCACTAAAATAAGAAACCAGAAAGGGTTGTTCACCATCTTCACTACTTTCCAATAAATATTATGTCTTTTATATTGAAAATGTGTAATTACGGAAAACGAGCTTATTGTTGTTTTATCTAGTGAAACAGTTTTAAATTCATTTAGTCCAGCTTTTACCTCCTTTCAAAAGTGCTTCAAGTTTTGCATTTCCCTTATCTGTGTAATATTTTTCCTTCAGATAAAGGCTATTGAGATAAAATCATCCCTCATTTGATTGACATCTGCTGTAAAGCTCGCACTAATTGGCCACCATTTGTCCTTTGGAGTTAGTGTGTGTGCCATAGTTTAACTATTCGCTTTGCCACTTTTATTATGTAAGTACAGAAAAAATAACTGGACATGTTACTTTATTAATGAACTTCATATAGCTTTGTGCAGGAATGGATACCAATTAGAGGGTCTCCCTAGTCATACCGTTTGGAAAGTGCTGTGTTCTTTAAGCTTGTCCTCTCAAAATTCACAGCTTGAGACCCATTCTGTGCTGATATTAAGGTTTAGGGTAATTAAGAGTGATTAGGTGGAGTCTCACGAATGGGCTCAGAACCCTTGTGAAGGAGGGATAGACAAAGGACACAGTGAATACTCATCCTCTAAAGAGAGCATCACCACAATGGATGAGTCTACCAGTGCATGGCCTTCTTAAATATTGTATCCTGAATGGACCAATACTGGAAGTTTTCTCTTCTGCTACTGAATATATTGCCTCTTAACACCAACCCAGTAAAGTGAGTTTGTATGCGATATGGGATTCATTTGTACCACTTAAACTCCTTTCATTGGCAGTGTTATCAGTAAAAGATCTGCTAGTACTGTTTTATTTGAGAACTTTTGGCCTGAAGCACTATAGCAGAAAAAAATTGGGAGACTGGAAATGTTTACAGGAACAGCTTCAAAGAAATGCCAACAAAACAGAAAGAAGTAAAATAAACTCCGAGCTTAGTTTTGTTTAGATTGAAATCCCCACATGCATTAATTCAAGTGGGATTAAGTTTGAGGGACTTGTCAGCATGGCTACACATCCCCGTTGGCTGATACTGCCCTTATGTAAGCCAGAGATGCTTAACAATCTCAACCGTCCTTGAAATATGCTTCAACATTCTGACTATACATGTGAGTTTTTGCCTTGCTGTTGTGTCTGTCAGAAAGCAATCATTTTGTGTCTTTAAATATTTTTTATTAGCTTATAGTAAACAGATATGCCTTGAGAATGTACTAAGAATCCAGGATAGAAGGTGTTAATTGGCTTACGTTTTACTGCTGGCTACTTACTTACTGTTTTGGGGTGTTCCACTAGAATATAAATTGTTTAATCATTAATCATAGTTGTCTTTACCACTTTTTTCTCAAAAGCAAAAATGTTTTTAATGTTTATCCAAGTGTACACCACTATGTCACATTATCTATAATGTTTCATTTTGATTGCAATACTAATATTTGATTGCATGATGTTAATTGAACTAATACTTTAGACCTTCATTTGCTTATGACGTTTTTAAGATTATTTACTATAACAAATATATATAACATGTACCCCATAATCATTTTTAGATGCACCATTTAGTCCTGAAAATATACAGACAGAATTACACACTAAAATTGTTACATTTGGGAATATATATATATACATATATGTATATATATACATATATGTGTATATATGTGTGTGTACATATACATATTTGTATACCTTAACAGAGAAAAGGGGGCTGTGAATTTGAAGGAGAGCTAGGAAGGGCATATGAGAGGATTTGGAGGAAAGAAAGGGTAGAAATAAATCTTGTAATTAAATTATAATCTCAAAAATAAAAAATAAGAAAAAAGAATTCTATATAGTGTTTTGATGACAGTATCTAGACATCTTTTTATCTTACCACTTATAAATTTGTAGCCACTAGATGACAACTGCCATTTCCTTTTACCTCTAGTCCCTTAAAACACCCATTTTTCCAGTGCCTATGAACTGAGTAGTCTAGTGTCTCATGTAAGCAGAATAATTCAGAATTACTTTTAGCTTATTTCATTTTTCCTAAGTTCTTCAAGTTTCATATATAAAGTAGTATATATCACAATTAATTTTCCTTTTAAGAGCAAATAACATTTCCTTGTTTTTGCACATTAGATTTTTTGTCTATTCATATATAAATTGATAGATGTTGTTTATACATTTTGGCTAAATCAATCATTAAATTCTGATCATGGACATTGCAAACATTACCATATATATACATATGTACATATATATCCACATGCATTCATATGTGTGTGTTTGTGTATGTGTGTGTGTTAAGATGTATACAGTGTAGCAAGGCATTGTGTGGCTGGATGGGTTATAAATCAGGGTCTGATCCTTCCTCTGAGTGCTCCTATAAGCAGTCATCCAAAGACTACGGAAAAAGTGGTGTATCTGTTGTCTTTTGTACAATTTATTTTATCTTAGCTCTCACTAAGTAGAAACCATTCACCTCTTCCTGGGTTCCCCACTAAGCAGCCTTTGAAGGTATGAGTTTTCAAAGTCATGAAGCGAAGCACAGAGCCTCTTTCTAACTCTGAACCTGTTATCCCCTTGTGTGTTCAGACGCCCTTCAAGGCCAGTTAAATATCAGCTTTTGAAAAACATGTACAAAGTTCACTTTTACTTTCAACATTGTATCTATGGATATTAGATCTGTTTACATTGTAATGAACTTGCCAGATTCATGGAGAGTTTATGCTCTGGTTACCTTCAAGTTTACAATCAATGAACAATGCTATTATCAAAACATAGTCACTTCATGTCAATTTTGCATGACATTGCACCTAGTAGTGCCTAGCTCTTGAATTGTCTATGCTTATGCGTTAACTCTAGAGGAAACTGCCTTTTTAAAAAAAATTTTCTTTTATATGTCATTAGCTTTCTTATTTTTTATGGAACTTATGGTTACTAGTTTAACATCCATCGGTTTGATTTAGATATTTATTCTTTTAAATTTTTTTGTATGTGGTGAACCTATGAGTATACATGTACCGTATAATTGCAGGAGCCTAAAGAGGTTAGAAGAGGGATTTGGGTGCCCTGAAACTGAAGTTACAGGCAGTTGTGAGCTGCTGTGTGGGTGCTAAGCCAGGGTTTTTTGTAAGAGCAGCAAGTGTTTTTAACCACTGAGTCACCTGTCCATCTTATTAATTTAGTTTTTAACTTTAGCCATATTTATACCCTTCCCAAATATCAATCAGTAAAAAAAAATCTAATATGACTGGAAAATCTTGAATGCATAATGTAAGTGGAATGACTTGCATTTCTGTTTGTGCTTGATGTTGTAGTCCCAAGTCGAAGTATAGTTGTAATTAGCGTCGGTGGAGGAGATTCATTGTACAGGATTTACACTCAGGTTTACCCTGGAAAAGAATGTAAACCCCAGCATTCCTTTCACTGATAAAGTCTCTCAGATTGGTGTTGGGAAGGGATGAAGCATTTCTGAACACTGTGGATTTATATACATGAGGAACACGCCATTTGCTAAGCCGCTCAACTGCAAACATTTACGATGTGTGAATGCAATTTACATTCTAGATTATTAGTCAGTGCCAGATACCTGTTATTTAGTATATAAATAATGTCAAATCTGTAAGTAGGTACTAAGGAAAATATCATTAAAAATATCATAAAAAGCATTTTTCTAGGAAATATACTTTTGTACATGTAAGCATTTAAACTTTCAATTGTAACTAAGTAAACAGCAAATTTGTTATAAATAAAAAAAAAATAAATGATTGTTTTGTATCCAGGAAAAGAACATAATGAGAGTTATCAACAGGATAAAGCCAATTATTATTTCTGAAGCACAGAAGGAATTATTTTTAAATTTTTGATAGTGCCTTTTTTTCATCCTGGTTAGTACTATGATTTTGAGAACAGTAGTCAACCTAATATGAAAATTCATTTTACCTGACCTTGCTAAATTTTAATCTACATGACTTTTAATATGAAGCAATGAGGATGTTGACTTTAAGGCCAGAGTGGAATACATAAGTAGTCCACGATAACCTGGGCTATGCAGTGCAACTCTACCAATCATCAATCAATTAATCAACCTATCTGTCTATCTCTCAATGCATTCCCTCTTTTACCTCTGTCCTATGTTGATGCCCTATCCCGCGGATTTAAAATAGTTGAGTTCCTTTGTGTGCAGTGTAACTGCTAAGTCTTCGTATTCATGTGTCTTCCTTTGTGTCTTCATATTACCAAGTCAGTGCTGTGCCACAAGAACACATATTACCTTCCCACTGCACTTCTCTTACTAATATCTATTGATGAGCAGATTGTTTTTACATTTTCCCCATTGCAGATTGAAAGACATGACAGCTGTGCCTATGACCACCTAGAAGTTCGAGATGGAACCAGTGAAAACAGTCCCTTGATAGGACGGTTCTGTGGTTATGACAAACCTGAAGACATAAGATCTACTTCCAACACTCTGTGGATGAAGTTTGTATCCGATGGGACTGTGAACAAGGCAGGCTTTGCTGCTAACTTTTTCAAAGGTGATTTGCACCCTCTCACAAATTCGTGTTTTGTTGGTGTTGTTAAGGGTAGATGGGATATTAAGTTTTGAGTCTGGGTAAAACTGGGTAGGAGTTCCTTAGAAGTTGAAGTATGTTCTTATATTCTAAAGCTAGGGAGTATTTACTAGAATAAAATGAAAGCTATTTTAGTGTAAAAAAGTAACATCAAATTTACATATAGGAAATTTATAGGCATATTACCAAGTGTGTTATTTGAAGTGTACCATGCAAATGAAAATTTCTTAGAGAAAGAATGAACAATTTTTATCTGCATGGGCTTTCACAAGATAAATTGGTTAATAATTTATATATGCTGAAATTCACCAATAGGAAACATTTGTTTCCATTATTTGAATAGTACAGTTCACTTTCAACAAGAGTTGCACAGAAGGTCACCATGTAAATTGGAAGGTGGAGAAAGTTGTTACTTCAATATATAAATTTATTAAAACATATAGCAACATTCTTAAATTTTTCTGGCTTTGTCATATGCCAGTTGTAGAAACATTATTTCTTGTGATTATGCATTTAGTTGTCAAAGCACTTAATATTTTGCTGGTATATGTCTCTATAAGTTGGTTGTATTTGCATAATTGACATTAGTTTATTTCTGAAGGATAAAATTATAGAGTACCTTGTCATTTTCTCTGTGCACATTTAAAAATAATGTATGTTATATCTGAGTCTGAAACAAATTGGACTGGAGTTTCTTATATACTAATATTTGTTCATTATATATAATTGATGTATATTATACACATTATATTTTACGCAATAAAAGTGCATACATTTATATGAATATTTATTTTTAGTCTAAATATCTGTATAAAAACACCAAAGCATTAAAAGATCTAGTAATCTACTAAGTTTCATTATTTTTTTAAAGTTATAATCATTACAATCTACTTCTTGATGATATTTTTAAAGGTATTTGTGTAGTATATGATTTTGTGCTTGTGCATGCAGTATTTGTATATGGTGTGTGTGTGCTGATAATTAAACCCGGGGTTTCTCATATGCAAATCATATATTCTCCCACTCAGCTGTGTGTGTCTCCAGCTTCGAAAAGCATGCTTTGAGATATATTTTACAAATTATACTGTGAAATCAGTAAGTGATGCTGCACTTTTTCAACTTAATTCCAAAACATCTCCAGGATTTAGTAATCTCCATTTTCCCTTAAATTCAGAAAGAAAACACACACACACACACACACACACACACACACACACACACTGTGTGTGAGATAAGGTGACTTCCAGTTGTCCCTGAAACAGGTGAATTTCTCGTCTCTCTCTTGTTCTCTGGATTTGGTTGCCACACTATGTGTTCCTACAGTTCGCACAACAAAGGCTTAGTCATTAGAACCTCTTTGTTGAGGAATGAGTGGTCTGTTTTATTCAGAGCCATTAGGCACCCCATTTGAAGAGGTTTTGCATTCTCACAAACAGATTGAACACTCTAACTGCTCTGCATCTCTCTTCACTTTATAGAAGAAGATGAGTGTACCAAACCTGACCGAGGAGGTTGTGAGCAGAGGTGTCTCAACACACTGGGCAGCTACCAGTGTGCCTGTGAGCCTGGCTATGAACTGGGGCCAGACAGAAGGAGCTGTGAAGGTAGGGCCTGTGTGTGTGTCTATCTCCTTCTTTTCCTGCCTGCCTGTCCGTCTATCTCTTTCTCCGTCCCTCTTCTTTCTGTCTGTCTGCATCTGTCTCTGTATCTCTGTCTCTACCTCCCTTTTCCATCTTGACGTCTCTGTCTCTCTGTGCTGTCATTTTCTCCTACAGTGAGCACAGCAGACATGACACCTCACGTGGTCTCTCGTTACTAGCACCTATCTCTTCCTCCCCTGGCTATAAGACCTTCATGTGTTTCCAGCTGCACTATCACCGACATTTAGCTCTGCATGTGTTCTTCTACCCGCTCCCTCATCACCCCTTCAGTTGTCTCTCCAGCTCTCCCCGGGTCTGTACTCACTTCACTCACTTCCATTCTTTGTATGGGAATGTAACCTTCCATATTTCCTCAGCCATACATTTCAATATCTGTTATTTTTTTATTATTTTCTTGACAGACTGTATGCATAGAACACACTTGTTTACTTGGTCTTCTTCACATATTCATCTACTGACACAGATATAAGAATGTAGCACAAAATTAAATATTTTTGTGAGTTAAAATTTATTGTACAATGGCATTTTAGTCATGGTCATCTATACTTGTTCATTGAAATCTTACATGAAAGCTTATATACAATGTTTTGTTATCAGAGCCTATAGGTAGGTTCTTTCTTAATTATTTAAAGATGCTTCATTTTAATTCCTCTTCCTTCATTGCACCTTTTAATTTATTTTATTTCATGTGTGTATGTGTCTTGCCTCCATGTATATAAATGTGCCACATGCACATCTCGTGCCTTTAGATGGATGAGGATGTTGGATCCCGTGGAATTGTAGTTACAGATGATCGTGATCCACTATCTGTGTGCTGGGAACTCAGCCTAGGTCTCCTGCAAGAGCAACAGTTCTCTTAAGCACTGAGTCATCTCTCCAGCCCATTCCTCCATTTCATACAGGCTTCACCCATCAGTGTAAGGGCAGAGCACACTGGCTGATCTTCCCCACAGTCAATTTCTCTTTCACCATCTTCACTGTTCCATCTTCACAGATGTTTACAATTTATAGTCACATAATTTAGAGTTTCACCACCAAAATGTAAGTCTCCCAAAAGTGAGCCTTTTGTTCATACATCAGTGATATATAGGCTGTGATTATATATAAGTGCAAAAGGCAGTAAAACTTTTTGCTTCATATTTGATGCTGTGGCCCCTGCTGGCTTACTTTTATAAAATGACACTGCTTCTTTATTTCCTAAGTTTGAATTCATGCTTGGCCTTTCAAGTCTCCATCACATGTACTTAACTGCCAGCCTCCCCTCTACACCACTAGATACAGAAATGAAAATGGCATAGTTGGGAAAAATGTGAAATATTTTAAAGTGGCCCATTGTGTATCAATTCTGAAGGCAAATGACTCTAAGAAATTTTATTGCTGCCTGCAGCTTCAAGCAAAGTCTTGCACGTCATAAGCAGGTGCTGGACACAGATCTGTGTCCCCAAGATGAACATCACTATTCCTTACATGTGACCCCTAGAAATAAATCGTTTTCTTTATAGTCATTTATCAAACACTCAGTGAAAATGAGTGAACCAGTCACTTTGAATACTTACTAATATGATAGCAAGTACACACATACCTATGTTTACACAAGCATGTAAACAAAGGCGTCATCTCAGGTAACTATTGGCCATCCCAGAAATTAGTTATGAGCTATATGTAGGGTGTGCTTGTTTTATTCGACTTGCCCTTGTGATGCTCTGACTTTGATTTTTTCAATAGGAACTTAGAAAGGAAATATAAACAGTGTCTATTCTAAAAAGATCATCAAATATCCAAGAATGCAATTTTTTAAAATTAAAAGCTTTGTAATAATATGTTCTATCTGTTATTTTGTTTCTTGCTGGTGTAGGTTAAATGGTCTTACTTACCTTGGGGAAAAGTATGGGGATTTTAAAATATGGGTTTGGTAATATTTTATATGAATATTTTATGCTGTCTCTCTATCGTCTTTCTATCATCTATCTCTATAAATCTATCATCATTTCTCTCATATCTTATCTATTCCTCTATATATCCATCATCTCCCTCTATCTACATATCAATATCTAAGTATCTATCATCTATTATCATTATCTATTAAAACATTTGTGTATCTATATATGTATGTATGCATGTGTATGTATCTATCAAAGATCTCTCAGTTATTTCTATCTACTTAGTCATCATCAGCCAATCAGTTATCTATCATTTATCTCTGTATGTTTTCCTTAGTTCCCACAATTTTATTAATTTCATAAAAGTAATTTTATACTACTTTTCAGTCATCAAGATACTGGAAGGTATTTTACATGCATGAAAAAGAAGAAAACTTGGACCTGGTTTCATATGAGTGACTGAAATTTGAAGCTATTTACAATGTACTTCTTCATTTCCAAGCTGATGATTAACAGCCCAAGAATGGGATTTGATGATAAAATCTTTTGCTAAACCTAAAGACTGAGAGTACAGTTTCTCGAGTTGACAGAAGCTGAATCACACTTAATGCTGACATGGTGGGTGTTGAAGGGGTGGCACTGATACTATTTCCTTTTCCCTTCTAGCTGCTTGCGGAGGACTTCTTACAAAGCTCAATGGCACCATAACCACCCCTGGCTGGCCCAAAGAATACCCGCCAAACAAAAACTGTGTGTGGCAAGTGATCGCTCCAAGTCAGTACAGAATCTCTGTGAAGTTTGAGTTTTTTGAACTGGAAGGCAATGAAGTAAGTGAGCAAGGTCTGCAACATCTTTTTCATGTTTAGAACCCCAAGGCAGTCTGACAACTTAATGACATTACTATTCCTTTTCAAAATACACTTTACTGAATTAAAGGATCAATTTTTTGAGATACGACCACACTGAAACCCTTGAAATCACTGATCTGGAAATGTCTGTAGGCTATCCACAAACACACCATTCAGGTGGAATTTAAGGCATAGGAATGACAGCCAGAAAATGTCAGCTGAATTTTTGTTTTCACTGGATGATTTTTATGGACAAGGTCATAAGTACCTGCCTCTAACTTTTATTTCTGCATTTATATTTAATTGTATGTGACTTAATTTGACTAAATATAATAAAAACATTAAATAATGAAAATTACCTTCCTTTTTCTGTATACCTCATGAAATTTGCAAACATGGGATGAGAAATGTAATGTATGAATGCCTCTAGGCATTGTTATTGGATTTTTTGTAGGTTTCATACACAACTTCTTTGGTGTACTTATTTTTTACTTTTGTTCCTTTTTCTGCCTACTCATGGTTTTGCTTTTGAAATATTCACTTTATTGCTTTTATTTTATTTTTATTTTATTATTTTATTTTAATTATTTTCCTTTATTTTACATACCAGCTTGAAATATTCTTTTCTCCAATAACTCAACTTGTAATGGTTAAGATAACTTTTTATTTGATTTCAAGTTTTAATTAAGATGTATTGCAGTTTTTCACTCTCTGTTGCATTAATAACAATAAAGCTATCATTATCAAGCACAACTGAGGGCACCACAAAGGTAGGCAGCAGACAAAATTGTCCCTAAAAAGCACCTGGGAAACACTGGGGTACCAGGACTAAGTGAAAAGTGTCCTTTAAACAAGCATCACCGGGTATAAGGCAACTGTGCTCCATAAAAAATTCCATCTGTGACTTATTTTTTTTTTTTGGTTGATTATTTTTCAGTTCTCTCACTTGGATGGCATAGATGGCTAGGATGTTACCCAGTACCTTACAAATCTACAAAAAAAAATCCTTTCAAAGGAAATTCACCATATAATAAACTTTGAACTTTCAAGATGTTTAGGTAGTTAAAACCCAATGCATTTCAATAGCTGTTTCTTTGGGCTATTTGGTTATATGGATTTTTTTTATAATAGGCAGAAAGGGCTTTTGAAAAAAATAAATAATTATAAACATTATTTTGATCAGCTGAGCAATGGGAAAATCATCTTATTCTTTTTTAAGATTTATAAACTGCAAAACACACATAAATCTATATATAACAAATGTCACTTTAAACAAATGTTCCATTGTTTTAGAACCTAAAATACTGTCAACCAATTCATTATCCAGTTAAATGCTAATTAGAACTGTTATCTTTTTTAATTGTTAAGATAACTTTATGCATTAAAAATAAATTCTTTGGAGGCTTTGAATTAAATGTGAAGAGTGACCTATGGGAGGTAAAGGTAGGCAGGACTATCAAATCAGAAAAGTTAATCAGCTGGGAAGAGGAGAAGGCTGATTCATTAAAGTCCCTGTCATGCTAACGTGAGTATCTGGGTTCCACACCCAGCATCTGGAAAAAGCAGGGCATGGCTGCACATATTGCAGTCCCAGCACTGGGGACTCCAAGACAGGAGGACCCACAGCTCTTTCTGGACATTCAGTCTAGACTAGACCTCCAGGTGCTGTATAACTCCCTACCATAAAAAGGAAGCAGGAAGCAGGAAGCTTTTGAGAAATGATAACTGGAGTGGACATCTGACTTACACACATGCATACACACCTACATATACACACATATGAAGGTCACACACACACACCAGTAGATTTGTTTAGATTATTTTCCAATATCATATTTAGGAAAAATGATAAGTTGGGCATCAATTAAACCTTTTAACATATTTAATAAGCAGGGAACATAATTTTCCTTAACAATTATCTCAAATCAGAGTGACTATTGAAATGAAGACTATAATTATAATACATTATGAAAAACTTTTTATATGATCCACACTTTCCAGAAATGGGATTTCTCTCCCAACATGTCACTTGATGTTGACAGAATGTTGAGTTAACTCTGCTATCATAGTTATTGCTGTAGCTATTATTGGGTTAGGAGAGACATTTTGAATTGACTCGTGGTGTGAGAAGAAAAGGAGCTTCTATGAAGGAGGAAGGGGCAGAGGTGGTTTTATACAAATGCCCCTTTGTGTTCTGGATGCCTTGGTCTCATTGTAATGGCCACTATTCACAGAACATCTGGCTGTGAACTTGTTAACACAGGCCAGAATTCTTAAACTGGCCTTACTGTGTGGGAAGCCTTCTCAGCATTCTATGTATTTCCATAGCTTGATAACTTAACTGTTTACAGTAACAGACCCAAGCAAACCTTTGACTTAGAAAATCTTAGAGTAAATCAAAACTTCATTAATCTGTTCTCTCAACTGATGTTCCAGAAGAAAGCCAATAGTAAAAGCCTTCAGCATCTGAAACATTCTTTTAAAATGGAGTTCTCCCTCAACAGATGTCACACTCAAACGAAGTATGCAGAAAAATTACTTCATTCTTCCCAGTAGCAGCTTGTTTATTTAGTACCTAATTAATATCACAAAAAAAAAAAATCCCCAGTGATTTGAGTTGACATATTTCAAAGTACAGATCATGCCCCAGGGTTCAATCGTATGTATTGTTAAACCTTGCTAATTATACGTTTATATAATAAGGTTGCTCATGCAAGATGCATTCTGTAGCATACATACGCTCTGTTAGAGCTTGGGAAAAGTGTGCTGTGGAAAACATCTGTTAGTGGCCATAAAATCGCTTAAGAATACTTGGCATGCAGTTGGGTCCTTGCATTTTCGTGATGCTAGGTAAATAAATCAGAGGATCTTACTTCATTTTGTTACAAATTCACGGCTTATTCCACTGAAGAGATTTAGCATTTGTTTACAATCCGTTAGTAGTCCTACCAAATAATTTATAGTACCTAACCCTGAAGGAAATGAAGAAACAGGCGCCCTCTAACAAGTATTGAAGACAGGATTCTAGTACTACCCACCAATTGTCTATCTATTCCTTGGAGTTGTAATCGGTGCTGTTTGGTACAGAGTGTCATGCTTAGGGTATGCAGTACTGGTTCCCAACTCTGGGCTATTATCCAGCTACAAACATATGTGATAAGTTTACCTTTGTACATGTTTTGTAAAAAAAATTCTAAATATAGGTTTTGGTCAGAGGATGACTTCTATTGACAGGGGTCATTCTGGGAAAAATGTAGCATAGAATCTTATATTTTTGTAATCAGTGTTAGATGAGACACAGCAAATGTCACAATTCATCCTGAAATTTAAAATAAAAATAAAATGAAGGCAGCAATCATAGCTTATCTTCTTCCCATAGATACCACCTTTGAACAAATCTTAATTCTCCTCATATTTTGGTATTTTTGTAAAAGATACATGATATGAATTGTACAAATAAATTGATGAAAGAAGGGTTTCCACAGTAAATTTCTTAAATTTTTGTACCCTCTGCTCATAGTTTATTTTTGTTGGATTTGGTTTTTTTTCCCCCCTTTATGTGTTAATCCTAGTAGGAATACCATGGGGATACTGAATGAAAGTCATGACAGGTTTCTCTAACTATAGTCTCAACTATCTGGTTCTCTCTAATTGGTGATCATGACAACCATGTTTGTCCAGGTTTGCAAGTACGATTATGTGGAGATCTGGAGTGGTCTTTCCTCTGAGTCTAAACTGCACGGCAAATTCTGTGGAGCTGACGTACCTGAAGTGATCACTTCCCATTTCAACAACATGAGGATTGAATTCAAATCGGACAACACTGTATCCAAGAAGGGCTTTAAAGCACACTTTTTCTCAGGTATGCGTGTACAAATGCTGTATGCACATGAGTTTCTGTCTTCCAGTGTGCACTGATTTAACTGCCCTGTCTTCTTCTCTGCTTTCTGTAATGGGGAGGTGTGTGGAATGCCTGAGCAAAGTTTAACAGCTTGATTAGTGCAGATGTTAGTATATTCATAGTATAGAACCAGATGAAATGCTGTCTCCAAAGAGTAGCTCGTATATAAGTTTAAATATTGTAGCAAATTCTAGCACAAGGACTCCAGCATTTTTACATACTGACTGCTCCATATGTATGCATGGTGATAATGATGCCAGACTCCCCCAACCTGGCAGATTTTCCAAATAATATTTATTGCCTCAAAAACTGTGATTTCATTTGAGTACTAAATTTTTCCCCATTTTATATTTCTTTAATATATTAGGGTCAAATCAATGTCCAGTTTTGTCTTGTTTATGCATAAATCATTACAATAAGTATGAAAAAGTAATTTATATTACATATAATTTTATATAGCTTTAAATAGAAATATAAAATGTACTTTAAAATATGTTATATAAAGATACAAAAAATACATAATATTTAACGGTTTGTGACTGTTAGTAGACTTTAAAATTAATTAAAAGTTCATTTTTTATATTAGAGCCTGAAGTATAAAAATAATTCCTAATTTTTACAAATATGTAGTGTGTGTATGTTTGTGTGTTTGTGTGTGTGTAAATATTATTTTCTCAGTTTTGAAACTACTTTTTATAAAACTGTTCTTCTGACCTTCAAAAATAGGTTACAATAAACCTTACCACAGAAATCTCTTCTGCCTGTGTAGCTAGCAACTGACTTAACACAACTGAATCCCGATTATATTTTGATACTAGGTAATTTGAATTGAGTTCATTTAAACTCTATTTATGCCACCTTTTCTCCATTTAAAATTAATGAGATTTACAATGTCCAGGGTTTGTTTGCAGTTTACAGTGTAATTGAAGTTAATGGTTCATAGGATCCATTGAGTTCCAAGTCAGATACAGTGAACTCAAAACACAGGGGATTGGGGCTCCCTTGTTTTCCTTCCCTCCTTTCTCTCAGATTTAATTACCTTTTAAAAATGCTTTTCAATCATTCATTTAAGATTTCTATTATTCAAAATATGATTTTAATTTCCTAGTCTAATAGAAAGAGGACTAATTTCAGACCTGTCTATTTTGTAAATGTATATATTGAAGTTTTTAAGTGATCTGGTGGTAAGGTGGAGATAACTCTGTTATCTTAGTTCTGTCTAAATATTTATTTTAAAAGTTGAACTTATGAAATGAGTGAATTCTGCAAACCATCCAAGATACCTAGCATCTTTTACATTACTTCAGATGTTCACTTTATCTAAGAATTGTTTAAAAGATTTATTAAACAAATCCTGAGTCCAATGTATCTTTAACTCTATAGATTCTTAGTAAATTTAAATTTGCCTTTGTGACTATTGGCCAGGCAAGGCCGTAGGAACTGGAGAGACATATTGTTAGGACAATGGCATTGACATGTAAGCACCTTGCTTCACTCTTCTGACATGGATGTAAAAAGGAGCACAGCCCGAGATCGGCACATACAATTGATGAAGTGACCACATCCCTTGGTAGCATCCATAACTAGTAATTCACTATCAAACATATTCTTTGATACAATCATGTTCAGGAAGCAACCTGATGCTTGTATTTATGTCACTCCTCTGGTGAAAAATAGCATATATAAATTATATGACTTTAGTTAATTTTGATAAAGTTTAGATAAGATTATTATGTCTAGGGGTATTGCTAAATATACTGAATAATTAAGGTCAAAAAGCAACAAAAGTACCAACTCTGCTGTTGTGTTCATTTGTGAATGGAGACATCTGAGGAGCTAAATGCTTAGCTCCATGTCACAGCACAGCCACTCCTTACTTCATCTTTGTCTGCCATTCATTTGCTTGACCATGTGAGACAGCCACGACCTTGCCATGGTAATGTGTTACACTGGCATCCTTAGGGCATGAAGAAAAAAAGGACACTTTTTGCTTCTTTAACAGACTGCCACTTGGTAAAAGTCCATAATAATTGCTAGAAACAATAAAATCACAGTGTTCTCTCTTGGATTTATTGAAAGGTCTTACAAATCTGCCAGGTTTGGGTTTAAAATATTTTGGATTTTTAAGCATTTTTAGATGAACTGTGCGCCTCAGTTCCTGTGTCTTTCTGCTCGCTAAGCAATACATTTCCTCCAGGAAGGGAAGTAAAGTTGCGTTTGGCATAAGTTGCTAAAGGAAGGGATGGCAGCAGATGGAGATTCAGAAGGCTACATGGCTGACTATCAGAATTCTAAACTGTGTATTTGTCTAGCTGTGTATTTGCATTGAAAAGAGCTAGATTTCTCATAGTGTTTTGAGCATAATAGTTTACAAAATAGTATGTAATGGTTTGTTAAGTGGTTCAGTATAGCTAAGTTTATGAAAACCGTAGATAAACATACTGTACTTTCTAGTAAATTGAAAGTTTTTTTTTATTTGAAAATTCATTACTTAGGGATTTGCTGAAGCATAGTCATGGAAGTATTTTCACAAATACTGTAGAAAGAAAAAAATGGTCATGGGAACCAAATCACCGAACATGGTCTGTCTCAGAACTTTGAGGCGTGGAACAGTTTTATGAACTATCTCAAAACTAGACAGGAGGAATTCAGAGTCGCTTTATAAAATAATTGTATGACAGTAGAAAGTATAAATAAGCGACAGCAAATGTACCTGGTAGAGTCCTTTTTGTTCTAAGGTTACTTAGTGAGGTTATCATCTAAAACGTTGTAGATTATAAACTATTGTCGGAACCTGGGTAGAAACCTACTCATCTTATGTACCCACAGCTAAGCCAACATGCATGCACATAAGAGAGTTGCCACTTATAAGTGCCCAGATGACTGTGTTGTGGTACAAATGTAGTGATTCTGATGTTGTGCAATTCCCCCTAAGGAATGTTTCTCTGAATTAAATACAAAGAAACTGTCAGATGACAAACTCTTGCATCGCATACTTCTCTGTTACTCCAAACATTTCTAGATCTGTAAAGCATTGCATCATGGATTGTCCTCTTTGAAAGTGAAAGAATTTTACGACTTATACAGATTTTAATTAGCTGAACAGTCATATAAGATGAAAATATATTTGGATTAACTTTGAATTATCTAATTACAAGCTACCCAATATACATGCTCCTCTAATATACATATTGATAGTTGTTTTTATTGAGGTTTAGTTGAAAATTTTTATTCTTAAAACTCAGAAGCTGTTACTGAGAGAGAAATCCTAATCAAGAATATAATATATGCAGTAATTTTAAATGCTTTACAATAACAGTTACTAGAAAACTTAATATTTATCAGTAAAAACTAAATTTTATTATTTATTCTATCTTATTCAGAAAGAAAAATCTGTTTAAAAGTTTAGTTCTCTTGCAAAAAGTGGTCCATCAGGAATAAAGATAAACAAATACACTCAAGTTGTAGGGTATGCAGTGGAGTAGTGTGTGCATACTATGATTTCTGTTGTATCTGTTAAAGTAGTACAGATATTCTAGCTCTTTCCACTTTTAAATGTGTGTTTTATATTGAAGGAGAAGAATAAAAGATATGTTTTAAAAAGGAAATTTACCAGAGAAATTAACAAGCATTGTATCTGCTACTGCTATATTAGAGAAATTAACACATTTTCATGTATCGATTCTAGGCAATTATAAGAAATTAGTCGGAAAAAATTAAGTTAATGAATTTTCTGTCTGACAAATCTATGCCTGTCTAGAAAAGTCAGTGTTTCTCGTTGTAGGGTAATTGCATTCAAACTCCTTTTATGGGCGTGCATGCACGTGTTATAGAAAGCTTCTGCAGTAGCATTTTCTGTGTTTTCAAGTGTCTTTAGTGTCTCTTATCTCTCCTCATCCTCTCCCCTGCCTTCCCGTCTCACACCCAACTTAACCTTTCTTGCTCCACTAGTCCTCATTTCCCCTTTAAACCGCCTGCATTCTAACTCTGATTCCTTGGCTAATTGCGTCCTCCGTGGTCCTTTACTCCTTTCTCAATTTCTGTGGGACAGCTAAGTCTTATAACCCTCTCCATCCAGATGAAGGAGTGGACATGTGAGAGTCGGAAGCAGTGGAGAACTATAGCAAAACTGTTTCTGCACACAACAGGGCAGATATACATATAAGCTCACAGCAGCCTTGACAGCATGCACAAGACTTATATAAACTCATCATGTAAAATCCCAGCATAGAGAAGGGAGGTGATCCCAAAGTCCCACCCATTGTGGAAGCTGTTGGCAACTGACGGCTGCTAGAGAGAGAAAGTCAGCTTTTCCTCAAAGATGTGGCCTTTGGTAGGCTGCCCCTACTCCAGTGGATGCCACTGCACTCAAGCTCATACTGGCAGTATTAAGTGGATTCAGTGGGCAGCGAATAAAAGAGAAAGTATAGGAAGTTGGAAATGAAAGGTAGTGATGGGATATAAGAGAAATGAGAGGGGAGGCAAAAGAGGGGATTTGACCAAATATTATATGCATGTATGAATATTAAGTGAAGTGTTTTAAAGGTGCTCTCAGATTACGAATGAATATGTTTCCCCTCAGCCACTTCTTCAGGAAAAATACTGATCAGATTGAATCTCGTATGTACTACCATAAGCTCACCAGCTCTTGCTGGAAATAGCAGCCGTGAGTGTAGTCTTTGGATTCTGCCTGACTGAGACGGAAGTGTATTGTGCCTTTCTTATTCTCACGTGTGGAAGGAACATCTGGGCGATGTGCATCAGGCACCGCCTTCCAGTTTGATTGAAATTGCTATGCTGGGCTTGGAATGACAGCTTGGTGGCACCCTGTGGTAGCTGTGGCTCTCACTGTGCTGGCTGCCCTCTAATTCCCTTTAGCTGCATTCCCTGTAGTGACTATGCTGACTATTTATAAAGTGTCTATTCCTTTCTACTCTAACCTCTGTTTTCCTTCTCACACACCAAAAACCCCTTTAGGTGATGACTTATTAATAAGCAGATCTACCAGACTGTTTATGTTTAAAATACATGTTTAAATTTATGTTTAAAATACATAAATTTAATCCCATGTTTAGAATGGACCAAGGATACCTTTTTCTGTCTTTGAATGTTATGAAATACCCAAACTAATTAATTGTAAGTATATTAATGAAAAAAAACCCACCATAGTTATTAAACGATTTTTAGGAGTGACTCTATACCTGTCTTGGAAGCTTGTTCAGCTTCAGTCATAGCTGTATTATTGCCCTCCTATACCTCTTGTCTTTGTTCAGACTGCTCACAATTCCACAGCTGTCTCTGAAAAACTGGTAATGGATGCTAAAGATCATCTGGAAAAGGTCCATCTTTCTCCCACCAGAAATTTCTGCTCTAGCATAGAATATCGCCAAGTGCTCCAACACAACTCTCTCAACACACAGTCCGTGCCCTATACCAGTACTTTCAGAAGCCCAGCTCAGAGCGCAAGTCCTCAAGCTAAACAAGAAATAAGTTAAACGAAGGCACCCTAAGCTTAAATTTGTCTTATGTCGGAAACCATGAGATGTGCAGTTCATTTTTGTCTTCTGTCAGAGTCCACCACAACTAGCCAGATCTGTTCTGATCTGCTTTTGTTTAAAAACTGCTCCCTAACCTGGGTCTTATTTCTCTGTTAGATAAGGATGAGTGCTCCAAGGATAACGGCGGCTGCCAGCACGAGTGTGTTAACACGATGGGGAGCTACATGTGTCAGTGCCGGAACGGATTTGTACTGCACGAGAACAAACATGATTGCAAGGAAGGTATGGAAAGACGTAATTGCTTGACAACATCTCACCTCTCACATGTGTTGGGCAAAGCCTGGCTTCCACTTGCTTAATCACATGCTGCTGCTGCTGCTGCGGACTATCCAAAGCTCAAAAACCTAGCCGTTATGGGTTGTGTGTAGATATTCATGGGATGCTATGGGACACCTAATTAGGTGAAACAAAAGTTCTGCACTTCACACACAGATGACATTAGATTTAACTTTGTATAACAGAGAAGTTGCTACAGTGTCATCCACTAGATGACATTTCTCCACATGGTTCTGCATCTTTGTAGAGAGGCTCCATTACCCTGTCCACATATAAACCTCTCCAAAATGGTTTCCATTTGGTGTGGTATTCCTCCCTGAATATGTCATACATTCTCTACATGAGCGATGCTCCTCTAAGTATCAGAGCTTTCAGACACAGATGGTAGATTCTCTGCCATTTGGAGTCATAAGCAAGAGGTGAGGGGGAAAGCATACTAATATGACAATAACTTCCTAGACTATCTCTGTCCCTAAGATTTTGTGAAGCGATTTTTAAAAGTAAGAACAAAAAGCAGTTATGTAGTTCCTCTTTCTTCTTAGGGACTTTGCCTATGGGATTGCCTACTTAGATTGGAGGCCAGCTTTCTCTTAAAAAGAAAATTATTAAGACAAATTTTATAACTGTTGTCATTGGTACATGTAGGTTGGAAAAATCTGTTTATAATAACAGTCTTGTGAGTAGGTGTTTGTATATGTTTTACAGTCATCCATAATGTCCATATGGACCTTCCTTTCAGATGGAATCTCATATCCAGGATGTTTCCTCTTCTTTTTCATTAAGATAATGACATTGTACTGAATTAGATGCAAGCAAGAATTTTTGCTCTCTGCATTACTCACAGGATGTTTATAACTTGGTGGGGTAGGCTACTAATTCAAAGACTGGGACAAAAGGTCCAATGATTTTGCAGACATGTAAAGTAATTCAAAGGAAAGCAGCTTTTACAGATTATGTGTAGAATTCATGCTCAGATGTGTTCCTGACAGTAGCTTTCTGGAACTGATTTTAGAGAAAACTTCCTATTAGACAAAATGATGTCCAGATATTCCCTATTGTAGCTTATTTGTATTGCCAGGAAAGAGGCTGAATTTCCCTCTACTTGTGTTGTATGGTGTGCACATTGCACTGCTTGGTAGGGAGAATCTATCTTTGCCATGGGTGGGTGTAGATCCTGCAGATGGCATGCTTCATAGGGCAAGGCCTAAACATAGGCAATAGAAGTGAGGACTCAGTCCAGAATTTTATCTTTTTGCAGAGACAGGCCTTGGGCATGCTAGGTATGTTCTCTACCATTGAGGTTTGCTGAGATAGCCTTGGGCATGCTAGGTATGTTCTCTAACATTGAGGTTTGCAGAGATAGCCTTGGGCATGCTAGGTATATTCTCTACCATTGAGGTTTGCTGAGATAGCCTTGGGCATGCTAGGTATATTCTCTACCATTGAGGTTTGTTGAGATAGGCCTTGGGCATAGTAGGTGTGTACTCTACCACTGAGATTTGCAGAGATAGCCTTGGGCATGCTAGGTATGTTCTCTAACATTGAGGTTTGCAGAGATAGGTCTTGGGCATGCTAGGTATGTACTCTAACATTGAGGTTTGAAAGCTACATTTACAGCTTCATAACACTTGTTCTTCTTTTTTTAAAAATGATTTTAAAATATCTTTTTTTAAATTTCATTTTATATTCCAACCACATTTCTCCCTCCCACCTCTCCTCTAGTCCCTCCTTATCTTCTCCCCAGCCCAGCCACATATACTCCTCCCAAAGGGTAAGAATCCCATGGTCGGTTGATGGAAGATCAAACCCCTCCCCACTACATTTGTTAAGGCTGAGGATGGCTTCCCAACATAGAAAATGGCCTCCAACATGCTAGCTAATGGACCAGGGGATAGATCCAAGATCCCCCCCCTCTCTCTTCCTCCCTCCCTTCCTCCCTGCTTCCCTCTTCTCGTGCATTCCCTTGTTGATTTCAAAATTTTCCTGTGAGAATATAGAACATCCTGGAAAGTCTTTTAGGAAAGGGTCTTTTAGGAAAGGAGGAAACTGTCATGATAGCAACAGGAATTATCTTAGTTTAGTTTGGGGGATAAACTCCAGGGCAGCGCTGCAGTGACTCAGGCGTATTATCTACGTAAGAAATAATCTCCCCAGTATCAAATGATAAAGTGACACCAGTTGTGAGAAACATAATGTTATACCATGGTGATTTGCTGGGAGTTCCCTTCAGGGTTAGCAGCAATTTGCTTATTTTTTTTATCTTAGTGCTTCATTCCACCAAATGATGGTAGCATAGTCATTCAAGTATACATTTAAGTATAGGAGAGAGGAGATATAAATGCATGAGTCACAGAACGGTTTAGTAACGATCGTTATCTATAAGCGATGTTGTGTAATGATGCAGCCCCTTGGCTTTTCTTTGTGGTGAAATATTTTGCTCAGACCCAGTGTAGACATGGTTGATTTGCAACCTATGTTACCCAAGCCTGAAATGTCTGATCCAATCGTTTAGAATAGAAGCTCGCTTTCCTCAAGGCACTTGTGGGGTTTGTGGCAAACATATAATTCCAGTGATTCAGACTGCAAACTTGGCCTGATTATGTTCAGCAACAGGTTTCCCAAAGCAGATGAAAATGGTAGCAATGATTGGTGTGATATTTTCTAGCAATGCAGGGAAGTCATTCAGCAAGGCAGGGGGAGCAAATAGGTTGCTTGTTTTCTGACCTAACTCTGCCCTGGATTCCAACACCAACTGATACTGCTGTTATTGGCACAGCTGAGTGTGAACAGAAGATCCACAGCCCAAGTGGCCTCATCACAAGTCCCAACTGGCCAGACAAGTACCCGAGCCGGAAAGAGTGCACCTGGGAGATCAGCGCCATTCCTGGCCACCGCATCAAATTAGTAAGTGACCCCCTTCCTTTTATCCTTTTATTCAACTGATTGTCCATGTCTTTCCTGTCTAGCCCACAGAGAAGGATTTATTTAACTGTTTTATTTAACTGAAATAAATCAATTTTTCATGCTTTCCTTTCTACTTACACAAAATAAATGCTTGATTTTTCAGATCAAGGTGAAATCCATGTTCTCCGAAGGCCTCTTTAAAAGGTGTTATTAAAGTTTCCATAAACTTTAAGATCTGCATCCTAATGTTAATGATAATTATATGTACAAATGGGAGAATAAATGAAGTAATAAAAACAACAGAAATTCATCTGAAAAACAATGGACTAATCTTTCACCTAAAACAGCATAGTGTTGTCTTCTGAGGGTATAGATTCTATTTGCCGCATTGAAAAAAAAAACACAGTTTTAAAAATAAAATCAAGCCTGGAGGTCATGGAGCACACCTTTAATCCCAGTACTCAGGCAGCAGAGGCAGGTGAACTCTGAGTTCGAGACCAGCCTGGTGTATAAGAGGTAGTTCCAGGACAGGCTCCAAAGCTATAGACAAACCCTGTCTTGAAAAAAAGAAGATGTTTTGCATTGTCATTTGTGGGATATTGATTTATACAATATATGACTCTTAGCATTAAAATTGTAGATCTTTATATTATACTTATAATTGTGCCAACTATTACTCTGTATGACTAATTCAAATAATGACTATAAGTTACTCTTCTCGCCCATTTTCTTTGAGTTTTGCCTGGTCATCAAATAATAGTATTGCTTAATAGCATAGATTCCATGCATTACAAATTCCAAGAAACCAAAGAAATGAAGAATATGGCAGTGTTATTACTGTCCTACACATTCATATATAGAGGTAGCTCACAAGGCTTAGATACCATCTAGGAGATAGTATGTTAAAGAGCAGAAATACTTGAGAAAGATATTACTGATATGAAATATTCCACAGGACAAATCCATCCCAAAAGTGTATTTTTAGCACTGACCTCTGTAGACTCTTCCAGTTTTTCCTATTTTATTTATAAAGTGACGTTATGGGAACATGGCGCTATGATGTCATCAGAGATGGTGACAAAAGAGTCATCGTCCTGTCGTGGAGTTCTTTCCACGTGCCATGTTTGTGACAGACTTTCAAGAACCATCACTCCCCAGTCACTCTGTGAAAGGGTGTTAGGTGCTTGAGATGCCAGCATGGCATGCTCTGCCTGCCCTGCACTTACTGTCATGCTCCTGTCCAAGGTGCTGATTGACAGAATGCTTCTTTGTTCTTTTTTTAAATTTATTTATTTTAAATTTATTTATTTATTAAAGATTTCTGTCTCTTCCCCGCCACCGCCTCCCATTTCCCTCCCCCTCCCTCAATTGAGTCCCCTCCCCCTCCTCAGCCCGAAAAGCAATCAGGGTTCCCTGTCTTGTGGGAAGTCCAAGGAACCCCCAACTCCATCCAGGTCTAGCAAGTTGAGCATCCAAACTGCCTAGGCTCCCTCAAAGCCAGTGCGTGCAGTAGGATCAGAAACCCATTGCCATTGTTCTTGAGTTCTCAGTAGTCCTCATTGTCTGCTATGTTCAGAGAGTCAGGTTTTATCCCAGGCTTTTCCAGACCGAGGCCAGCTGGCCTTGGTGAATGCTTCTTTGAACCCCTTGGTGCTTGTTAGAGAGCTACACAGATAGTGGTGTTGGGAATATGGTTTATTTCTGATTGCATTCATGTGTAGAAATCAAATTTCTTTTAAAATTTTATTTTTGATAGTGTAACCTTTCTCTTTGAGCTGACTTGTTTTATGCAGTGCACAGAATACACATAGCTTCACTTTTGAAAAATATTTGTTGAACATAGAGTTCTATGTCAACTGTATTTCCTTTCTGTACCTTTTCAATATTGTCTCCATTGCTTTTTATAGAGTTTGAAGTTTCTTACTATTTCATTGAAGATTTTGTCTTTATTTTATTATACAGAGTAGTTCTTTTTTGTAGTCAGCTTCAAAATGTTCTCATTTAAATAAAGAATTTGAAAATAATGTACTTAAGTTTACTTGCATGCATTTAATAGTCTTATTTTGTGATCCACGCTTTCCCATAAACTTCTTTGAATTTTCTTCATCTGTATGATGGCATCTGCCATTCAATTCAAATATTTCTTCACTTAACTCTTTTGTAATGCCATGTCCCTTTATCTGGGATTGAAATGATACAATTTATATTACTCCACAGCTCTTAGATGCTTTTAATTTTTGTCAATTGCATTTTGGCTTAATTAGTATTTTCCTTTCCTGAAAATATATATATTTTACAATATATTCTGATTATGGTTTTCCCTCTCCCCACTCCTCCCAGATCTTCCCCCACCTCCCTTCTAATCCAAAGCCCGTCCTTCTTTCCCTTTCTCGGTGGACAACAAACAGGCATCTAAAAATAATAATAAAATAAAATATGATAAATCAAAAAATGAAGAAGAATAGGGCAAAACAAGCAGAAGAAATGGAGCCAAAAATAAATCACTAGAAACACATACGGGAGTAGAGACACACATTCCCACACATGAAATCCCATAAAAACACAGAACCAGAAATCATAATGTCTTTGCAACAGACATGTAAAGTTTAAAAATACATTGACAAAGTATTATGGGACACAGAACCTCTAAAAATGCCACTTAATTCATTTTGGTGTTGACAATCACTACGGGGCTGGGTATGGGTCATGCCCTTAAGAGTAGTTTATATACCCAGTGAGACTCTAAGGGGGAAAACTCAATTTTCCTTTGTGAATAGTTGTTAACTGGAGATAGCTTCTGGGTTAGAGATGGGGGAATGTGTCCACACTCCCTTCTAGGCTGGGACCCATGTGTCACAGACCCTGTGTATGCTGCTGTAGTCTCCATGTTCACAGATGCATTGGTCCTGATTTCCTTGGCATCCTCCATCTCTTCTTGCTTTTGCAATCTTTCTGGCCCCTCTTCCTCAGTATTCTCTGAGCCCTGAGTGGGGAAGATTTTTTCATGAATACATGTTATTGAGGACTGAGAGTTCTACAAAGTTCTCTCAATCTCTGCACAGTCTCTAGCTGTGGATCTCTGTATTTGTTCCCATCTACAAAAAGAGAAGCATCTCTGATAGTGGCTGAGCAAGACACTGACCTAAGAGTATAATGCGAATGACTGCCATTGAATTAGCTTAACTTTCATTGATTGCTTCTTCATTTCTTTTGTGTTTATTGAAAAAATTGTTAAGCATTATTTGTTTTACTATTCTGTATAGTATTAATATTTAACTCATGGTTATAGTTTATATCTCTGTTAGTCTGTTGGATTTCCATAATAAAATATCATAGACTGAATATCAAAATATTATATATCAAAAAATTCTGTAAGTTCTCCGTAGTTATGTATAGTTAAAGTCTAAGGTCAAATTGGCTGTATGATTGGGCTTACTATGTGGTTTTCTGGTTGACCTCTCTTCTTGTCCTTTAAATGCCTACCTTTTGGATGTATTTTCACACAGTTTTGTTGTTGTTATTGGTGTATGTGTGTGCATGCATGTGCGTATGTATATATGTAATAAACTTGATATGTTATTGTGTGTATGTGCTTGTTCATGTTTAGAGGTGCATTTGTGAATGTTCCACACAGCCCACATGTGAAGATCAGAGCACCAACTTTGGGTATCATCCCTTGTCTTTCTGTTTTCTTTAAGACAAGCTGTTTTAGCTGCTGTGTATGCTGAGCTAACTGGAAAGCAAGGTGTAGGAGAGCATCCTGCTTCTGCCTCCCATATCCCCAGGAAGATAATGTGTGCACTACTTCATCTGGCTTTTAAGTGCATTCTGATTATTGGCACTCAAGTCATCAACCCATGCCATAGGCTCTTTTCCATGAGCCATCAGCTCAGCTCATATCACTTCTTCTATCAAGTTAGGAGAAACTGTGGATTCTCTTCACTGTCTTCCAAGGATGTCTGCTCAATGCCAGTAGAGCTTTACACTTTTAAATACATTTTACATGCATCATCTTCCTAAATGCCTCATCTTTACAACTAGTTAAAAATTTAGTCAATCCCAGAAAGGTGAACTTTAAAAAAATGCCCTTTCTATAAATGGCCAAACTGGGTTAATTCCAGAGAAAATGTGACTTACCACAGAATTTTACTACTATATTTTGTTCAAGAACTATATTTTAGTTCTAGGTTAATCCATTGAATCAATTTTGTTTGTTTTGATTCAGTGTGTGTGTGTGTGTGTGTGTGTGTGTGTGTGTGTGTATGTGTAAAATGAGATAAGGGCTTGTCTTTTATTTCTATACATATATCTGGTCATTTTAGCATCATTTATCAAAGAATCCAAATTTTTTATTATGCGTTATGGACATTATCATAAAAAATAAGTTGAGCCGGATGGTTGGGATACACACCTTTGATTCCAGCACTCAGGGGGCAAAGGCAGGCTGATCTCTGAGTTCACAGCCTGAAATCAAGAAAATGTCCTACGAGCTTGCCTACAGTCACGTCTCATGGTTTCTTAATTGATGGTTTCTCAATTAAGAGTCCTTCTTCCCAAACCAGGTCAGTCTATGTCAAGAGAACACAAAGGTAACCAATCCAACCTGGTAGGAATGGTTTTCAGACACCAAAGTCCCTAAATACCAATTTATTCTCTTACAGTAACATCGTTCTTGTAATTCAGAGGTAAATTTAGTTTCCCGGTTAATAAAGAATCTGGCTAGAGTTGAGCCATTTTTTTCTTTTAGTGGTTTCTTACCAGTTCTGCACTGATACTAAGAACGTGGATGTCTGCCCAGTTGTAACAGGCTGATTGAATACTGTCTCATGAGAGGCATGAAATCAGAAAGATTGATAGCTGCATTGACAAGAACTTTCAGGGTGAGATTGTCTGTAAACATGAGAAAGTGGCTAATGAAAGAATTGGCAGGTGTAATCAAGCATCTAGACACCAACTGAGTCACTTCTGCCTCCCAAGCACTGGGTCTACTTTATTGTACTCCAGCCCTGGAAAATGCTAAATTCACTTCATAGCACGTCCTCACTTGCTGACTGACTGCTTTACGCCCTGCACTCTAGGATAAATAATTTCCACTACTGACTCCTTATTCACTGATCTTCTCTACACAGTACCGATTTACAGTGAGATTCTTTGCATTGTAGTTGATCTTATTTTTTTTTGTATTTTTTGTAGCTTTTGGTTGCATGAAGTGAACACTGCTCTCAACTCATAGTGATCATAATAAACAATTTCATCCATATTTGTATTAATCTTTCAACAGGGTGCAATGGAATAACTTGTAGAGAGAGTGTCCCCCTTCTCTTCTCTTCTCTTCTCTTCTCTTCTCTTCTCTTCTCTTCTCTCTTTTCTCTTCTCTCTTTTCTCTTCTTTCTCTTTCTCTCTTTCTCTTATTGATCTTTTTAGTATCTCTATTTCTTCCTCTTGTTTCTGTAAATGGAGGTTTCTTTGTCCTGTACCATCCCATAGACACTTTTAAATAATCTTTCAGAGGCTTAATATTAATTACAGAATGCTTAGCAGAACAGTTCAGGCTTATTACTAACTAGCTCTTACCTTTAAATTTACCCATATTTAATTAGTCTATGTTTTGCCATGCATCTTGTGGCTTTACCTGTGCTCCAATACATCTTGTTCCTCTGGCACCTGTCTGACAGCTCCATGACTGAGCCCTTCTCTTCTCTTCATCTCTGTTTGTTTCTCCCCTAGCTGTATTATGCCTGGTTATCCATTAATTCAGTTTTTATTGTCAACCAGTGAGAACACCATATATTCAAAGCATATGGAGGGTGGTCCCACAGCACACTTCCTGCTTAGTATAATTGCTTCTATCTTGTTTTCTATTCCAAAGTCAGAAAATGGAATCTAGTTTAGTGTGGAATATTTAAGCTATGTCGCACAATCTCAGAAAGAAAAAAAAAACCACACCCTTTCTCATATGTAGAATTTAATCAATAATATATGTAAGCAAGTATATATGGGGACCAAGTATAACATGAAGAAAAGGGGAAAATATGAAGTGATTCAGGATTAAATGCAGGCAAGGGTCACAGGTTATGAAAGAGGATGTAAAGCTAATGGCTTTTCTAGTTCTAATTCTGCCTTAGTTTCTGTTTTGGTGGTGGATAAGTGTATTAAAAAGCTCCAATACTAAAAATATAAGATTTATTGTGAAGCTCCATAGCTTCCTTTCTGAATGGCTAGTCTGGTTATTTTAGGACTATGATGTTTTCATTTGTTTGCAAGTTTATTTTATAAATCTGTAAAATTAAAAATAGTTAACAGTAGTTGAATAGGTTGCTAGCCTGCTTAGTCATTTCATATCATGTGAGTCAGCCTTCTGTATCTTGACGAGCTCAAAATGAGAAAGGTTATTTTAGTCCATAGTTACAGGGGGAGTCCATGACGGATGGGCTGTATTGTGTGACGTGTGACAGAGAAATTCATGATAGGAGTTCAAGATTCAAGGGATTCATCGGACCAACACTGCACAGCTCATGGCCATATGAAAGGGGGGGGGCTGAAGGAATTAGCATGCCCATAATGAATGACATAATGACTGTCTGTTGAGTCATTTCTTCCAGGATCTCCACCACAGACCAACTTTGTGTCTCTGGGGCAAAATCTGTGACATACAGCTTTTGTAGGATACCTGAGGTCTGTGCAGCATAACAGTTACACGGACATCTCTTGTTTACCCTTATGCTTGTACTGGGGGCAGATACCATGTGGCATCCATTTTTAATGATGTGCTCTCTGGATTAATTCCCATGTTTGCCATGACAGGTTTTATTGACAGGTGATTCGTTCTCTAGAGAAGTTTCTGGATGATGCGTTGCTAGTGAAAAGTTTCCTTCTTCCTAAACAGGCCTTCAGTGAGTTTGAAGTTGAGCAGCATCAAGAATGTGCGTATGATCACTTGGAAGTTTTTGATGGAGACACAGAGAAGTCGCCAATCCTTGGTCGGCTATGTGGCAGCAAGATACCAGATCCCCTCACAGCTACTGGGAATCAAATGTTTCTTCGGTTTATTTCTGATGCCTCTGTTCAAAGAAAAGGATTTCAAGCCACTCATTCGACAGGTCAGCCATTTACCTTTGTGCTCCTCTTCTTAAGAAACACTTATTGAAATATAATTTTTAAATTTGTCTGTAAATAAATGGTTTTTCACACACACACAAACGCTCCACTATTTTTTCTCTCTTCTATTAGTCTTTTGTGTTGGGTACGGGCATGTACATGAATAGAATTACATGAAGTCATAAGTGGAGCTGGCCTTCTAGCTTCATTTCTGTTGCTGTGACTTTGACAAAAAAAAAGTGACTTTGGGGAAAGAGAACTTTGACCCGCAATTCCGCATACTTCTCATTACTGAAAAGTCAAGGCAGGAACTCAAAGCAGCTAGCTACATTCCCACTTGAGAACAGAGAGAAGAAATGCATGCATACTTATTCATGCACAGCCTCCTCTCTAGAGTTAGTCAGGCCAGGATCCCCTATCTAGAAAATGGTGTAACCACAGTGGACTGGCTTACCCAATATCCTTTAACAGACAAACCAAGGGGTCAACTTGACCTAGGCAATCCCTCACTGAGACATCCTTCCAGGTGATTCTATTTTGTCTCAGGTTGCTAATTAAAATTAAAATGTCACAACTGGTAAAAAAAATTCTATTGAAAGGTGTTATATGGAATATTTGGAAAACTATTCAATATTTACGTTGATACCTTTGCAGGAGTTGAAGATTCATAGAAGAAATATAAATCAACAAATAATAAAATTATTATACTAAACTTCAGTTTGATTTATTAGCAGTATAAAATGAGGAAGTAATTCCTGTGTAATTAATTTTGTGACTGATTTTAGAAGCTTCACTGGCATGTCACCTTTAAAAGATAGGAAGCTGAATCTTGATATTAAAAATGTTATTTAATTCATGAAGCTGTTTTTAGCTAGATTTTGCCTTAGCAAATGTCTTGTTAAGGACTTTTGAATTTATTATTTTTTAACAGATTGTCATTTCCCTCTAACTTGTTATTTATTTTTTGCTGTTTAAGGAAAAGTTTACTTTAGACAAGTGTAAATATGTAAAGTTAAAATAAATAATATGAAATTATTCATACTCTGTGGTCAATTTAAATATGTGTTCCATAACATAATCTAAGTAATATTACCTTTTTCCTTTCAGAGTTTGTGCAAAAAGTTAATCATATTTATTTGTAAAGTCACTGAGCTTATACTGGCACCTTGTGGCCATTCTGAGAACTGGAGGTTTGAGACGATAGTGCAATGTAAGCGTATGCACGTTCATTCCCGAAATAATTTTAAAGCAGAATTTGTCATATTCTCTTGGTAATTGCTTTGGTTTCATTTAATTTTCCTTTATCAATATATGTACCTTAGCTTCTTCATTTTACAATATTTTTCATGATGTTTTTTATTTTACTGCATAATTGATTTACTCTTTAGTCTGTGAGAAAAGGAATTTTAAGATAGAGGTATGCTATACACTATTAACTATTTGACTCTTAATAATACTATTTAATTATTCCTCACACAGTTATTAATACTATGTCTTTAGGAAAACAGACTATAGACATTGCCTATTAATTTTCTATACATTTGTTATTTTACATATATTCTTGTTAACTTGCCAGGTATTCAAGTTGTGGAAAAAATTGATGTTCCATTACCTTGTTAGAATTTTCCTGATGAGTCAGTGGTTTTAAACAAACACACATATATATGTGTGTGTATGTGCGCATGTGTGTGTATGTGTTGTGTATCTTGAGGTTATTGACAGTTGTAAAACCCCTAGTATAATTTGTGACTTTTACCCGTGTACTTTATTTCTTATCATATATTCAGTATACATCAGATATCTCAAACTACCTTAGGTCAACAGTATTGTCTTCATTGTGCAGACGAAACTGGATTTGTGGATGATTGACTAACTACAGAAGTTTGTAACACATTGTCTAGCCATGAGTTTACTCCCATTTTGACCATCTCCAAAGCTAATACATTCCTCTTTAGAGGATTTTATCAATTTAAATCTCCAGAATTGAGACAGAAGTGAATGCAAACTGTCATCACTACTTGAAGCAGTAGGTAAAGATTGAATACTGGGTTTTAATTACATAAATAGAAGGCCTATTTTATTCCCTCTTTTCAGTTCACATCTACTCAAATATCCCCGAGACTAACCTCATTCAAACGTTAGAGTGAAAATGGTTTCAAGCCACTTCAAACAAGAGAAATCTGGAGCTAAACGTGAAATGCCAACTGAAGCAACACAGAAATTATCAATAGAATCCTTGGTTCCCCACTTCTGCTCATTTATTCTGATCAATACTCTTGCTATGGGTTCATATTCGCCTTTCCTGTTACTTATAAACTTAGACTTTCAAATAATGAGCGATCTTGGAGCTTTCTGGCTGGATTTCGACTGTGCTGTGCACAATAGCCCCTCCGATAACCTAGCCTCCTGGTCCACTGCTGTAATCATCTCCTTGTGCAGCATCCTATCTTTTAAGTTCAGTTCCATAGCTTTCTACCAACATGTATTTTGGCATTTGCTCCGAACAACGGGAAATTGTCAAATATTAGGTTGACTTGAGCTTGAATAACAAGGAAAAGTAGAAAGCAATAAATCACCATCGTGATATAGTTTATTTTATGATGATGAATTTCTCTCTGAGCTTACAAATTTCATACCACTGGTGTACATAATATCCAATGGTATTTTAAAACTCTTACCTGGTAGACACTGCTTCCTCTATCGGTTTAAAGATTAGACCATTTTTTTTGTATTTATTACTATAAACAGAGATTTATGAGCACCAAGAAATGACTCAACCTGATGAACAAGAATGAACCCCTTTTTTTAGTACTCTAGATGGTTCTCAAACCTCACATTGTACCACGTGTAGTAAAACAGGAATTGACAACTTTGTTATGTTTAGGTTCATAAGCCTTCAAGTGTCTTTTCACATTTTGTCTTAATATTTTACTCTTAAGTGTCCTTCCAGTCTGAGACTGACAGAGGAGTGCCTCTGTAGCAGGCCTTCCACATAAACACCCTCCATGTCTCTGCCACCCGGAATCCAGTTCTTCCTGACCCCATAGAGTCATTGTAGTTAAAGTGCTGACAGCTTTTAAAGCTTGGAAACCATGTCAACCTATCAGTTACATAGAACTTTGATAATAGGTATTTATTAAATCAGAAACTTCAGCCCACTGGTTCACATAATTATACTTTGATATCAACTATATTTTTAAAATTCATTTAATATATATATATATATATATATATATATATATATATATATATAACTCTTTGGCCTGTATACATGTATGTGTACCACATGCATGTCTGGTGCCTGTTCAGGGTAGGACAGGGTATCAGATGCCCTAGAACTAGAGTTACAGAAGATTGTGAGCTACCTTGTGGGTGCTTGAAATTGAATCCAGATTATCTAGAACAGCAGTCAGTACTCTTAACTACTGAATCATTTATAGCCCTAAACCAGATGTATTTTTTCACATGGTGTTTTGCTTAGTTTTCTTAGTGCTGAGGGTTGTCACAGATGCTGGGAAAACTCTCAGGGGCTGGCAAACTTACTTTCCCTCAACATTATTGCATCTCATTATGTATTACTATGTTTACAGGTACATTTGTTGTCAGGCATTTAGGTCTCCTGATGCTTCTATTTAATATCTGTTATAACAAATTAGGGGCCCTGACCACAATGAACTTCTAAACAGTTTCTGGATCACCTTTCTTTAAGTTAGACAAGATAAAAGACTTTGCTATCACAGCTCTATTTCCTTGATGCATTTCCCAAATGCTGCATCTGGAAACTGGAGTCAGAGATTGGTTACATTCCACGTGGAAGTTCACCAAGCTTATTCATTTCCTCTTTCTTTTTTTGAACAGAGTGTGGTGGTCGATTGAAGGCAGAGCGCAAACCCAGAGACTTGTATTCCCATGCTCAGTTTGGTGATAATAACTACCCAGGACAAGTTGACTGTGAATGGTTGTTAGTATCAGAACGAGGCTCTCGACTTGAGCTGTCCTTCCAGATGTTTGAAATAGAAGAAGAAGCTGACTGTGGCTATGACTATGTTGAAATCTTTGATGGTCTCAATTCAAAAGCTGTGGGTCTTGGTAGATTCTGTGGATCTGGGGTAAGTTCATCACCAACAGATTTCCGTAGTCAATTTCTTGTAAATTAGTGGCTTGTGCATATAATATTTACAAATCGGAAACATTCTTGAAATAATTATTCATGTTGTATTATTATCAATGCCTTGACAAAAATAAACATGACTCTTCTTTTTTCCTGTTTCTCCATTTCTATTAAGTTTACATTATAATTCACACGAGTAGATGAAAATAGTTGTTCTAGTTTCTTGTCCCTTTCCATATTCTAACTTTTCATTGTGCAATAAATATTCAAATGCTTAATAATCTAAAAACAACGTATCTTAATACACAGCCTTGTCAATGTTGTTTTTTCCTAAATTAAATCATAAGAGAAAGGAAAGAAAAGTCATATTGCTTCAGATCTCATTCTCTTCTTTAGAAATCCCTCTGGTCAGAGCACCAGGGTCAGCTATTCATGCTGGTCCAGCCAAGCCCAATGCTGCTCCACTCTTCTGCATGCACAGATGGAGTTCAGAGACAGACAGTGGGGAGGTCACATGAGACAATGGAATGAGAAACACTTATGGTTTTCCTTATTTACCCTGGGACTCACTGCACTCAAATCAAAGCTCTTCTGAATGTGTTTTTTGCATGAAATGACAATAGAGACAACTTTCTGGGAGTCAACACCTATTTATGAATTAAATAATAATAATATCAAAGTTATACCCAAGAAACACTTGAAACAAAAATATTCTTTAGAATTAATTTGATCATTAAAAGAGGGAGAAAGGAAATATTTAGATTCTACAATTGGCTCCGTTCATAATAAGCACTTAAGAAATAAATATCTCTTTACTTTTTTGTAATCTCGGTTGTTTACAATATAATTCAAAGCAACATGAATTAAAGGTTTTTTTTAAAGAGACCAGGTTTTAGTGAAAATTCTGGAATTTAGAAGTGAACTAAAATATCCTTTATGAGATTTCAGTATTGCATTTCTTTCCTAAATGTCGTGTGAAAAGAAATTTAGCATAACTTCTTTCCTAGGTTCTTGCATGGACTGAATTATTAGAACATGTGCATAACATTGATGAAATAATTTCTTAGTCTATGATTCATTAGTTTCTGTTTCATTTGCTTTCTTTTCAGCCAGCAGAAGAAATCTACTCAATTGGAGGTGCAGTATTAATTCATTTTCACACAGACGACACTATCAACAAGAAAGGATTTTATATAAGATACAAAAGTATAAGGTACCCAGAGACTATGCATGTTGAGAACTAATGTGGACCCTCTCTCAGAACAAAAAGGAATGAGTATAAGGAAAGAAGACATTTTTAAAATTGACAATATTAGTACAAATGTTTTATATAATGAGTTTGAACAAAAGAGAACCGCAAGACTAGAGTTATCTCTGGAATGAAAGCGAACTTTCCAGGAAACCAGGTGGTTTGAAAGTCATGCCTGGTGATTAATAAAGGTTGTGGAAGGCTATCACATGCTTCAAGGAAGATTAACAGCTTGAAATATATGCCTCACACTTTGGACAGTTTACTTCAGGGGCTGTGATTCTCTGGAGTGGTTTCTTGACTACTCTTTCAAGATCTGAGGACATACAATTATCAAACAGATCATAACTTGGAAACCTACTTCTTGGGTATTAGCAGGTTTGCTTAGACATTGTTGGTCAGTCCCAGTGTAAACCAAATCCATGTAAAGTGATGTGGAATAACGGTCTTTGGAAGGTGGCTTGTCCTTTAAATGTAGGTGTGTGTGTGTGTGTGTGTGTGTGTGTGTGTTTGTGTTTGGAAACTGGAATATTTCATCTTCATTATTTTCAAATGTGGGCCAGCTTAACCTCTTCATAAGAATGATTTTGTGACCACTTTGTTGAATCTATGTCATGGGAAGTCTGTAGTGTTTGTAATGCAGTTAATCTCTTGATATCATATTCATTACTGAATCACATCCAGTTCACTAGTAAATTCATTTCTCATTGGGGAAGTACTGAATAGTCATACCAAACCCAAGAAACCCACCATGTCTTATGAACCTTTAAGGAAAGCTCTAACGAGGTGTGTGCAGCCATCTTCCAAATGACTGCCTGTATGGATATTACTCCAGTTACTACTACTGCTGCTATGATCTTTCTTTTATTGTTTGTGTGTTGATGTTTTATTGTTATTGTCGTTATTACTGTATTTAAAAATGATCAGATGAAGTGGAAGCAGAGTTTGAGAGACATGAAATCTCTCTCCCTTTTTGTTCTCTTCTTGAGATTCAGTTTAAAAAAATACAATATTGGGTGGAAAACGATTTGTTTCTGAAATGTTTCCTATGGTGCTATTCCATAAACATTAAAACAGCAACAACATGTTTCTGACCTTTGAGCCAAATGCCTGTATACTCTGAATGCTTCCCTGTATGCGGCTGGAAAAGAAAATTACAGACTGTTTAGATATATCAAGAGTGTATCATGGCGAGGACAAAGTTTGTCCTGTGGAAAAACTACTTCCAATGCCTTAGAATTCTTGCTCATAATCCATCAAATCTGCTTAATGCACACCTCTTGAAATGTTGGCCATCAGAGCATACGTTAGTCACCAACTCCAAAAAAATCCATTTCCATAACAATGACGTTGGATTCATATAGATACATTTGCGTATGTACATCCTAACCTGCTTTGTTGTAGAAAATGTAATTTTAGGATAAATGTTTTGCTTTATTGCCCTGTGTGTTTTTTATATTAATGTATGTATATGTGAGGCTTTGAGTGAGTGTGTCTGTTAGAAGGTGAAGCGCTATGGGTGGTTGAGAAGTTTAATTCTGTGTGCCAAGCTGTGCTAGGACCATGTTTGAAGTAGCACCCTATAAAGTTTCATAGACATCTAATGGAGAGTTCTAATCACCATCAATCCCTTCAAAGAAAGGTTCCTTCCCTTAGATGATCTATTTTGAATTTTTTTATGTTGCTGTGCAAAGGAGCATTTTTTTTTCTCAATTGTCCACAAACTCTCATTGTCTGGGAAATAAAAGGGGTAATATTTTGTTATTTTTACAAAATTAAACTCTGCATCTAGATATAACACTTTATTTCTTTTCTCAATTTTCCCTTGAGCAATCTTTTTCTACTTATGACTTACAAAATGTAAATACAGTTTTTGAACCAATGTTTGGATCTCATTGAATGTTGCCTTCAGAATATGTATGTGTTGCCTGGAATGTGGATGAGCCACTCAGTGGAGATGATTTGCTCTGATAACTACTTCCATATTTTATCACTCATCCTCACCTAGCTAAGATATGCCCACAATGTGGAAGAGGAGAGAAAAAGACACTCACCTGAAAGTGTTTTGCACTGCTCAGGGCCTTGTGTAGGCATGAACTAGCTCCTAATCTCCATGCATGCTACTCTTTAGTGACCACTGAAATAGACCATGAGGTGCAGAAAATGAGAGCTAATGATAGGTTGCTTCCCAGGATCATAGATGAAGGTAGATGTAGAAACTCAGTCTGTGTGCTATCAGTAGTCTGTGCTGACTCTACAACAAGATTTGATCCCGTTACACATGAACAGTAGGATTTTTAAATTATGAAGCTTTCCCCACAAAACAAATTTCAGGTGCAAATTAGATAGTTTGTGGTTGGTGGTAATGTTTTCCTTTTGGCAACGGCATGGAGATTAGAATGTCAACTGCACAAAGATGTCCTTATGCAACAAAATTCTACTAAAAGTTAAAGTGACACTGTAGCTTGGTGTTAGTGAGCTTTTTATTAAAATTACTATATTAAATTATTTATGTGTCATTGTGGGGAAGATATAGCTATTTTAAGGAATAGCCCAGAAACTCCAATTGATACCCAATAAGCCACAATGAACTAAGCTTGAGACAGCTAGGACATTGTAGAAAGTCTGATGTAATAGTTTAGATCATTGACATAGATATTAACTTTATTGTGATATTGTTTCAGAAATTAGACAGTAACAGATTATTTTTAATTTAAGTCAGTATTTGCCTTAAATGTGTTGTTAAATGAAACTAGAGACACCATCATTGCTGTTTTGCTCCTAAGTATTATTGTTCTAGCATTTTATTAAATTAATTTTGTAAATTATTTTATACCTCTACAATATGTTTGTTGTGCTTTATATTTGCAAAGTTTCTGAATACCTTATGATTTTCTGTACAGACACAGCAGAAAACTACCTTTTTAAAGATTATTTTATTATGTTTATTATGAAGAGAACCCCAATACTGACTTCAACTAGTTGTACAAAACATTTATTTATTTTTTTAAATTTTTTTTATTGAGAAAAGGAAAAAAAAAGTTTCTGCCTCCTCCCAGCCTCCCATTTTCCTCCCCCTCCTCCCACCCTTCTCCTCCTCCCCCCACTCCTCTCACCCTCCCTCTCTAGTCCAAAGAGCAGTCAGGGTTCCCTGCCCTGTGGAAAGTCCAAGGTCCTCCCCGCTCCGTCCATATCTAGGAAGGTGAACATCCAAACTGGCTAGGCTCCCACAAAGCCAGAACATGAAGTAGGATATAAATCCCGTGCCATTGTCCTTGGCTTCTCATCAGCCCTCATTGTTCGCCATGTTCAGAGAGTCCGACTTTATCCCATGCTTTTTCAGACACAGTCCACCTGGCCTTGGTGAGCTCCCAATAGATCAGCCACACTGTCTCCGTGGGTGGGTGCCCTCCTCGTGGTCCTGACTTCCTTGCTCATGTTCTCCCTCCTTCTGCTCCTCATTGGGACCTTGGGAGCTCAGTCCAGTGCTCCAGTGTGGGTCTCTGTCTCTATCAACATCCATCACCAAATAAAGGTTCTATGGTGATATGCAAGATATTTGTCAGTGTTGCTATAGGATAGGGTCATTTCAGGTTCCCTATCCTCAGCTGCCCAAGGAACTAACTGGAGACCTCGGCTTGGGCTCCTGGGAGCCACTCTAGGTTCAAGTCTCTTGCCAACCCTAAGGTGGCTCCCTTAACTAAGAATTGTAATTCCATGCTCCCCTATCCAACCTTCCTTTATCCCAATCATCCTGTTTCCCCAAGTTCCCCCCATCCTGCCCTTCTCCCTTTTCTCTCCCCATCTCCCCTTACCCCCATCCCACCCCATCCCCAAGATCCCAGTTTTCTCCCCAGCTATTTTGTCTACTTCCCATAGGCAAGAGGATAACTATATGTTTTTTTGGGGGGGTTCACCTTCTTATTTTGCTTCTTTAGGTTCACCAATTATAGACTCCGTGACCTTTATTTATGGCTAGAAACCAATTATGAGTGAGTACATCCCATGTTCATCTTTTTGGGTCTGGGTTACCTCACTCAGGATAGTGTTTTCTATTTCCATCCATTTGCATGCAAAATTGGAGAAGTCATTGTTTTTTACCACAGCATAGTACTCTAATGTGTATATATTCCACACTTTCTTCATCCATTCTTCCATTGAAGGGCATCTAGGTTGTTTCCAGTTTCTGGCTATTACAAATAATACTGCTATGAACATAGTTGAACAAATGCTTTTGTCATATGATAGGGCATCTCTTGGGTATATTCCCAAGAGTGGTATTGCTGGGTCCAGGGGTAGGTTGATCTCGAATTTCCTGAGAAACCAAAACACTGATTTCCAAAGTGGTTGTGTTGAAATAAGGAGCAGCGGGGCTGTGTCCTGCCACCCAGCCGCCTGCACTGCTAGCTTTACCCGAAATAATTACACAGAAACTGTATTTCTTTAAACACCGCTTAGCCCCTTATATCTAGCCTTTTCTCGGCTAACTCTCGCACCTGGACTAGTCCATTTCTAATAATCTGTATAGCCCACTAGCTGGCTTACCAGGAATGAACTTAATCTGCGTGTGCCTGGAGTGGGAGAATCATGGCAACTCCCTGACTCAGCTTCTTTCTCCCAGCCTTCTGTTCTGTTTACTCCTCCCACCTATGTTTTAACCTATGAGGGCCAAGCAGTTTCTTTATTGCTTAACCAATGAAATCAACAGATTGATATATGACACTCCCCCATCACTTCCCCTTTTTCTGCTTAAACAAAACAAGGAAGGCTTTAACTTTAACATAGCAAAATTACATATAGCAAAACAGTTATCAAGAAAGAATTACAGTTACAATATTTATATCTATTTTATCTTTTATCATAACTAAGGAAAACTATAACTATAACTAACTATTCTTCAACTCCATCAAAGACTCCAGAAGGATATAATATTACCTAAGTAAACAAGAAATAAGAAAACTCTAGAAATGACAGAGACATCTCGCTGTCTGGACAGTCACCCAAAGTTCCTCTGCACTGTTGGGGCATCCATCTTCGGCCTACAGGCCCATAGTTTCCAGCAGACATTTCCATGAAGCAGGTAATTCCAAAGACAGTTCAGTCACTATCTGCTGTGTCCTGCAGAATGTCTCGCAGACTCTTTAATGAGTCATGAACCCCGAAAGACCATCTCACCTTTAGGCAAGTTCAGCAGTCTTCTCTCTGCGGGTTCTTTGTGTCCAGTTTATGCATCAGTCCAGGCAAGAGCAGTTTCTTGCCCAAATGGCTATCAAACTCCGTAACGATCCTCTTCGATGCCCATCTTCCTCTCGAAGTAGATTGGTGCTGCCAGGAGCAGATGTGTCTCATTGTCATGAAAAGTCCTAAGTTATTAAAATATTTAAAATGCCATATTCTGCAGTCTTTGAAAGATATGAAGAATGTCTACCTAACTGAAATATATCTCTATATATCTAGAAAATCTAACTAACATGACTACAAGCTTTACTATTATCGATGATTATCCATTAACAACCTATATTTCTTAATTATACAGTACATTTTTAAATGAACTACACAATCACAATACCTTAATCAAGATCAAGAAATACATATACATATAACAAAACTGACCTTAAAATCCATACCAATGCAAATTATTCATACCTATATCATTTCCCCCTTTAAATGTAAAAGAACATTTATAAACAATATTTTGGGAACATGGACGCAGTTTTTTCTCTCCAAACTGCTTCCTGCTGAATGGGCGAGCTGTTAATCAGGTCATTTATGGTGTAACCTGTGTGCCCGGTTTATCTTAGTTGGCAGTTGAGTGAAGTAATTTTTTGAGGGTATTCACAGGAACTTTTCGGGAGGTTTTGGTCTATCATACCATATTGGGATAGATGCAATCCACAGGGTCTGGTCCTCTGTGAAAACAAAAGAAGACCCTTTCCAAAGCATCATATCCTTAGACCCAAATTCTGAAATCGTAATACCCTTATATCCATTCTGGTTTAGCTTGGCAGCCCATGTAATGAAATGTCTTTCTGTACTTAGCTCCTTCACAGTCAAAAATTTTAAAGAAAACACAATAATACAAAGGATCCAGACTCTCTGTGAATTTTCCATTTTTACATGGCTTATTTTTACTCTATCACTTTACTTTATTCTGTCTCTTTAAAGACTTTACATTTTTTTAAGACATTAACTTTATTTTTTAAACCATTAACTTTATTCTCTATATTCTTTTTCTTCTCTCTTTCAAGCCTACGTACATTCATCCAACAGTGCGGTCTTTTATGTCTGAATCTGTTTTCTTGTGAATCTGTAACATTTTTTTTACTATCCAGGAGCACTTTTGATTTGCGCCTTTAAATCACTAGGCGCTTAAGAATCTAAGTTGTGACATTCCTAGGTCAAAAGCAGGTACTGCCTTCTGGCCCCGCCCAGTCCAACATGGCGGAGCTGCTTGTGCCTCTGATCCTTGCACATTGCACCACTAGCATGGCGGAGCTGCTTGTGCCTCTGAGCTGTGGCACACAATGTCCCCCTTTTAGGCACACAGCAGTCTAGTTGCCATCAAACAAATCGTAGCATTTTACTCCAAATGCTCCATTCAAAAGCTCTGTCTCCCACAGGAGCCAAACAGAGATTGCAATGGCCCAGAAAGCCAGCATTTTAAAACAGCCAGTTTTTTCCTACTGCTGAGTCAGGAAAATTTCAAAATGGAGGACATACCATTTTGTGCTAGCTCTGGGGCCACCAGGTAGGAGTGGCACTCAGCACTTTAATTCTGAGACTGAGCGTGCAGCACAGAAATTCTTTTCATCCAAGTTACAGCCAAATCTGACACGCAGAGCACTGCGCAGTCTGAAAATGCATCTCTGTATGTCAGCAGGAATCCGCCATGCTCTTCTGCCTGCCTAAGCCTGATTCTGCCTTCTGCCCAGGTGCAGGCGGGGAGCGCTGAGCCATCAGCATGGTCTCAGAGCACTCTCCTTCCCATCCCAAGCAGGAACACAAACATCCAGTCCCATAAAAGCCATTGAAATGTTTTAAAGCCAGAGTTCACGCTGGCAGCACAGCCCCAAGAAGCTGTGCTTTAAAATGATGCAGGGTTTTTTCTGCTGCTGATGCCGAATCAGGAAATCTCTCTATGGCACGCCACCAACAAACAGCAAAAATCTGTGTTAAACTCTCTCTCCCTTATTGTTAAGCCATCTCAGGTTTTTAAGTGGATTTAGCCCATCACGTTGGGTGCCACTCTGTTGAAATAAGAAGCAGCGGGGCTGTGTCCCGGCACGGCTTTACCCGAAATAATTACACAGAAACTGTATTCCTTTAAACACCGGTTGGCCCATTATATCTAGCCTTTTTTCAGCTAACTCTCGCACCTGGACTAGCCCATTTCTAATAATCTATATAGCCCACTAGCTGGCGTACCAGAAATGATCTTAACCTGCATCTGCCTGGAGTGGGAGAATCATGGCAACTCCCTGACTCAGCTTCTTTCTCTCAGCCTTCTGTTCTGTTTACTCCTCTCATCTATGTTTTAACCTATGAGGGCCAAGCAGTTTCTTTATCGCTTAACCAATGAAATCAACAGATTGATATATGACACTCCCCCATCATGGTTGCACAAGATTGCATTCCCACCAACAATGGATGAGGGTACCCCTTCCTCCACAGCTTCTCCAGCAAAGGCTATCATTGGTGTTTTTGATTTTAGCCATTCTGACAGGTGTAAGATGATATCTCAAAGTTGTTTTGATTTGCATTTCCCTGATCGCTAAGGAGGTTGAGCATGACCTTAAGTGTCTTTTGTCCATTTGAATTTCTTC